GGCAGCTGCAGGCAGGCTGCCCTGCCCGCGCAAAGCCTCTCCGCCTTGTGCAGCATCAACCTCTGCCTCCACGTTATTTACTGAACTCATTCTACTTCAAAACCATCCAAAGCAATCCCCAATGTGGACCGCAAATAGCAAAGGAAGAGATCAGCGATATCCTCGCCCGCAGCACGGTGCAGAGTTGCACCAAAGAGCGAGGCAGGGTCCTGGGACTGCTGGCAGTCCCAGACTGATGGACCTTGAAGGCCAGAGCTGCACCCCCGCGTCCCCCTTTGGGAAGCGGGCTCAGCGTGCCTTCCCAGAGCTCAGCCACAGGGAACGGCACCACCGAGGCCCCCAACGCTGCAGCCGGTGCCTCCTTCAGCCCTTTGCTCTGAGGGGATCCCCCAACGCTGTGTAGGGCCCAGGTGGAGGTGATGGAGCTCAGCGGGGGGCCATGTGGCCGTGCACCCAAACGCTGGCGTGGGCACGGAGCCTGAGGCACGCCGGACTGCCTCAGTGCATCAGGCTTAATTATTTAAGCACTCTAAGGTCATTAGGGGCACGATGCCTCCTATAGCTATGGGACTGCTGGGGGGAGGACCAGCTGGAGCACCGGTGCCCCTGAGACATCACCAGCACCTGGGGTTTGGCATGGAAGGGTTATCCGAGGCCCTTCGGGGCAGCCTGGGCAGAGCTCAGCGCAAAGGATGTCCACGTTGCACAGAAGTTTCTTTTTTGAGAACTCACGACCGCCTGCGGCCGTCCGAAGCTGTGGCTTCAGAGGGATGCTCTGCAAGCCCAGAAAGCTGGGGGTGAGTGGCATCCCCGAACTCAACATCCCCGAGCTCAGCATCCCCAAGCTCAGCATCCCCGAGCTCAACATCCCCGAGCTCAACATCCCCGAGCTCAACATCCCCGAGCTCAGCATCCCCGAGCTCAGCATCCCCTCCGTTGGCGCTGGAGGCAGGGGCTGGCAGCAGCTCGTTCCCCATTTTCACGCCGATGCTCTGAGATCCCGTAGGCAAGAAGGGCAGAAGCCGTTTGGGAGGGAGAGGATCTGCTTTTCAATCAGCTGCCTGCATGTCCGTGGTGAAGTGTCCTGGGGGCACGATCAGCTCAGGGAATGCATCGCTCTTCATTTTGCAGCCTGCGAGGCGTAGCGGCACCCCCTGCAAGAGACCTTCTCTCTGAAATCAGCTTCGTTTGTGTCTGTTTGGAAGTACCCATAGATTGCTCTTTGCTTTTTCCTGGTGAGATCTGGTGTTGGGATGTTGGTATTCAGCCTGGGGATCCTTCACGGCTCCTCGCCGCCAGGACTTGCTATGTAACTCCCGCTGTGTCTGGGTCCTGTTATTCTGGTTGGGAAAAAAAACCCGAACCCAAACCCGGTAAGGGTTAGATTTGGCATAGGGGGTCACTCTGTAATTGCAGTAAATTTTGCTAGCATTAACTCCAGATCAAAGCCAAAAAATAAGACTACTTTTGAAAGTCATAGGTAAGCTTAGGTAAGTGAATTACCTGCAAATCTGCGAGTTCGTAATGGGGTTTAATGCAGAAGATACTTCATCGCTTTGCTCAATTAACATCAATTAATAATGTGAAATCTTTTTGGTTCTGCCAAAAGGTGGCAGCCTGCGTCTTGGCTTCAGGACCTGCTCAGTTCAGGGAGGGAATGGCTGGAGATGTTGGCTCGGCCAACGTTTCTGTGTGCAGCTCCCTGACCTGCGAAAGGGGATCGTTTCGGGCTGGATTATGATGGGAGAAAGAAAAAGAAGGCCCGAGGGTGTGTTAGTGAGGGAGCCCCTGATCCGCCGGAGGAAGCCCGGCGTGCCAGGAAGTGGTGGCACGGTCTCGCGGCGCTGGTTTCTCTCCGTTCCCATGCCTGGGGGAGGGAGAGCAGCCGTGAGATGGGTGCTGTGCTGCTGGGGTTCCAGCTGCGCCGGGACACGTCACCCCACACTGGAGACCTTTGGGGACTTGGCTCCACGGGCGAACCCCGCGGGGATGGGGCGCGGAGACAGCAGCGGCTGGGCTGGGGGGTTCTGTGTGTTTGGGGGCACGGAGCCGTGCTGGAGCGGGCATTCCTCTGCTCCTTCAGGCGCCTGGTTAACGGCGCAATCATTAATTCATGTAAAAAGCTTTCTAACGTACCGAAATCATAGAATCACAGAATTGTTTAGGTTGGAAAAGCCCTTTAAGATCCCCAAGTCCAAGCGTTCCCCTAACCCTGCCATCCCACCACTAAACCCTGTCCCCAAGCACATCGTCTGCCCGGCTTTTAAATCCCCCCCGGGGCAGATCAGCCCATTTCCTGATGTTTTCCACATCTGGCTCCCTGTGGCCATCCAGGAGCTCTTGTCCAGCGCTTTGGTGCCCATGCAGACTGGGCACCCTTCAGCCCCATCCCAGCCCACTGCAGCAGGTCAGGTCCCCGGGGCTCTGCCGGCTGGAGAGCCCCGCTCGAGGTGCTAACTGGTGTCCCCTGGCGCTGCTGGTGACTCTCCCCACGAGCCCCCGGGTGGCGATGACCACAGGTTTCCAACTGCTGAGCGCCGCAGCCCGGCGTGGCACGACAGCTCCTGGCCCGGGGCAGCCCCGAGTCCTCAGTAGATCCCCAAAGCACAGGGTGATGGATCTGTCTGGGTTGGGGCAGGGGGAATGGCTGCTGTATGAAACCCAAAGCCACCTCCTGGCAGGAGGAAGATGATCTGAGAGGCCAGGTAGAGCAGAGAGGCAGTAAATATCTGTTACCTCCAGCCACCTTCAGGCTGTGGCCATCCCAGGCCCGTCCCTTCATCTCAGATCCCCTGGCAAGGTTCTTCTGGTCCGTGTTGGACTTCCAGGAGCAACACCGCATGCATGGTGGGACGTTGGATGGAAGCTGCTGGAAGGACACATCAGAGCTGACTGGACATCCTCAGATGGGAGAATTTTCCTCTGGGCTGGGCTCTTGGACCACACCAGGCAAAAAAAACCCCAAAAGCGTTAAGGCCAAGTTCTTGCCAACAAAATCCCCAGTTTCCCTCCCTGGGGCCTGCAGATGCCATTCAATGGTTCGGCTGGGTGGCCTCCCCACCCTTCAGCATCTTACCCCAGTGCCCTGGGGACGCAGCAAAGGGCAGACACAAACCCTCGCTGGGTCACCGCGGCTCCAGCTGCTGGTGGGGCTCATCCCGAGCGCTCGTCCCTGCTTGATCCTGGCCAAAGCGATGGCTGCAAACCCGGGGCATGAGCTCCGTGCATGCAGGATGGATGTGGACGCCGCTTTCCAGCCTGGGGCATGGGGGAATGCAGCGCTTCCAGAAGAGGACTCAGCCCAGCAGCCTCAGGATGGGCTGGGTCACATCCTGGAAACACCTTGGATCTCTGCAGGTGTTATCGAGGGTGGCTGTGACGGGCGTCTGCCCTGCAGACAGCTTGTGCAAGAGTAGATAACGCCCTTCACCCTTCTGGGATGCAGCCTCCAGCATCACCGGGTGGTCCCAGAGCTGCACCTGAAACTTTTCTACCAGAAGCAGAAAAGAATCGCAGCCACTGTGTTATTTCTTCTGCTGCTTTATGTCTTCTGCCGCTTTATTCCCCTGGCCAGATGCCTTTGCACGAGCTGACCCACGGCTGCTGGCTTCCAGCAGCGGGATCACATTTTGAAGTAGCTCTGGCGGGCACCACCAAATAACCTCCGGCGTTAGAGCAGGCTTTCCCCCATCAAAGGGATTTTTTCTCGGCAGCCGTGTTTCAGAGGAAGGGCTGCGTGGAACAGCGCTGCAAGCAGCGAAACCCCCTTGCGTTTTGGCTGCGTTCTTGGTTGCATGGCAAAGATGAGACACCCGGGGGACTGTTGCGTGCAAAGGCTTAATTGAACTTTCCAGGCCAGTTAGAGACAAGAAGACATCAAAGGGTGAAAATTTCGCTGTGAATTGCTCACCCAGCTCCTTTAATTTATGGTATCTTCACTGACCGAGCCACTGCCTGGGGCGTGAAGGGCAAGGCGAGCTGCTGCCGCAGCCCTGCTGCTCCCCATGGGGAGCAAATGGCTTTGCTGTGGGGCCACCATCACTGCCAGGGGGAACATGGACCTCTGCCACCTCTGAAACCGGGGGTCATAACTGGGCATCCAAGGAAGAGTGGAAGGACCGGGGTGTTCCTCTCCTGGAGGGAAAGGTTGTGGATTCAGACCCAGCTACACCAGCACCCCCCACCCCTACAAGGACTTCTCCAAGCTATGTGTGAAACCATCATGGCAGGCGGGGACGGGCTGGTGCTCTGTCACCCAGCGCCTCTTGGACGCTTACCCCGCTCCGTAGGACACGCTGCGAAAGGGTCTCGATGAGAGGTCCAGCCAGCGGGGTCTGCAAGGGCCTCGGCTCTGGGTGATGCTGTGCCTGGGCCTCCCTCCTGCAGCCCGGCCACCATCTGCACGTCTGGGCTGCTGCTGGTGGCTGAGCCCTTGTCCTTCCTTGTGGGAGAAATAAACCTCAGCATAGAGCTCCTGGCAGGAGGATGAAGGGAAAAGTCTGCAAAGGAGATATCCCAAGCACCTTAACCTTGCGCCATGGACCAGAGACTCCACCAAGTTCCCCTGGTCAAGCCACGTTTGTGCTTTCTCCCTGGAAGAGGTTGGGTTTGACCAAGCAAAGCGAGCATTACCTGTACCTGCTGGTGGGGCTCCACCGAAGCTCCCACGGTGCCCACGTCCCACTCAGGTGTGGGTTTGGGCAATGGCAACGCTGCCTGTGGGCAGGGACCTCCTTGCAGTGCCCCTGAGCAGGATGGATGGGGTGATTGCATGGATGTAGAGCATCCCATGGGCTGGGTGGAAGCGAGGAAAGGACACGGGCCCAGGCACTGGGGCACTGCATTTGCACTGCTGCTGTGGTCAGACAGTCCCTGGGGCTGAGAAGTTCCCCCCTGGGCATGGTCAGCTCCCGGAGATGACTTTGGGGCTGGTGGAGAGGCCGTAGCATGGTGCCATCTGCTAACATAGGTGAAGCCGGGAGCACTCACGGGCAGGGGGGCATTTCCCTTTCCACCTCTGCTCTAAACCCAGTTGGACTCAGTGAGCGGGTACACTTCTTAAAAATAAAACGCTAAGCCCTCTGTGTGGTTTGGCAGCAGCTGTGGGGAAGGGAGCAAGCAGGTAGATGCTCCTTCTCTGGGTGACGATTCAGCAGCGCTGCTGAAAGTGGAGCATCTACAGAGATCTGCAACAGGATGTGGTGTTGGCCACGATCAGCAAGCCCTGACGGAGGCGCCGGACGGTGGCGAGGTGGGTTCGAAAGCGAAACAGGCTCCTTGTCGCTCTGCCTGCTGCCCCACGACTTCCTTCCCAACACACTGAAGGAAAATGCGAGTGGTTCTCAGCCCTGCTTGTCCCTCCGGTGACAGTGGTGGCACTCGGGTGCTCGTCAGGTGGCCACGGGTGGCACAGGGGCAATTAAAGCAATCATTGCCCGAGAAAGGCTCCGGCATAAGTGGCGGTGGTAAAGGCACCGAGTTTGTGGCACATGAGGTCTGGGCAAAGATGCTGCAGTGTCCACGGTGCCGATCCATGGTGTCCATGGTGCTGTGGTGTCCACGGTGCCGATCCTGCCAGGACCACGGTGCCCGGGGCTCTGCTCTTGGCCAAAAGCTGATGAATGGCTCAACAGTCAGCACCACGTTAGCTCCAGGTGGGCTTCCTCCTGTGCTGCTCCTGATGCTTCTCCCCTTCTTCCACCAGGAACATGGATAAAGGCTGAGGAGCCTGGACAGACGCTGTGAGCCGGCCAGGGTGGTCCATGGGACAGCCGTGCTGCTGCCAACACAGCGCTCCTCGCCCAGCAATCGCCCATGTCACGGGAGGCCTCTGATGGAAGGTGAGCGGTGGCAGAGCAGCCTGAGATTCAACAGCTCGGTGGAGTTTTGGATTCAAAAATCATAGAATCATGGAATCGTTGAGGTTGGAAAAGCCCTTTAAGCTCACCAAGCCCAACCGTTCCCCTAACCCTGCCATCCCACCACTAAACCCTGGCCCTAAGCACCGTATCTGCCCGGCTTTTAAATCCCCCCAGGGGTGGGGACTCGACCCCTTCCCTGGGCAGCCCGTTGGGACGAGGTGGGGCACCAAGGTGTGAGGGTTGACAGCGGTTCCTGGTCCAAGGGCTTGGGGACAAGGCACAGGGGGAATGGCTGGCTCTGAAGAGAAATAAATGGGCTTGCTCAGATTTTTATCTCTTCATGGGCTTGGTTTCCAGCAGGAAACGTAATTTCACGATTGCGTTCTTCACTTTGTTTGTTTTTCGCTTTGCCTTGACCAAGCAGCTCCTACCAAAGCAGCCCACCACGCCTTTGGGATGGCTCCATCTCAAGGAGGAATTTGGCAGGTCGCTCTGGAGGGCTCTGGTTCACCCCCTGCTACCTTCAGAGCCAGCCGGGGTGCTCCCCTGCTGCCTTTCCCCACCACCCCTGAGCAACATGCCCAGGGCTTGCGCAAGACCCAACTCTCCTGCTCTCCTCTCCTGCAGAGGCTTGGATCAATCGCTACCGCAAGCAGCTGGTGAGGTCCATCTCGCCGCAGTTCCTGGAGGAGATCATCTGCTACCTGCGGAGGCTGGACCTCCTCACGGCGGAGGAGGCTGGCCGGGCACAGGAGGCGAGCTCCCTGCCCGAGCAGGTGAGGGTGGTGGTGGACATCCTGGCTGGCAAGGGCAGCTACGCCTCCCAGTCCCTGCAGAGCTTCATCGAGACGACCAATTCCCAGCTCTACCTTCACCTCACTGTCTATGGTAGGCAGTCCACTTTGGACCCAATGAGGGGCGTCTGCACGTATGTCCTGGCTGTGGGTGCTTGCTGGAGCACCCCAAGAGGTGCACAGAGCTGGGCAGCGTCGGCAGCTCCGATGGGAGCGTCCATGCAAGTGATGGTGCCATTGCAGGGTCTCCGCTGGGGAAGGACACAGCCAGGGGGTGGCAAGGGCTCTCTGCCAGGTCAGAGGGACCTTTCTCCAGGCCCCTTGCTGCCCTCAGCACACCTCTCTGGGCAACCCGAGGAGTCTTTAATGTCCTCAATGTCCAGATCACACCAGTCACTCCCAGCAGCTGGGCTGGGAACAGGGGGATGGCAGGAGGAGGACGGCTGGGAATTCCTGACCCCATCTGCTGGTGGCTGCCCAACCCTCTTGCCAGGAGAGGTTTTCTTGGTTTCCCTCCTGGTTGGAAGGCTCCAGCCTTGGCTGGCATCTGCTCTGAATCTCTCACAGCATCATCCCCTGCTTGTCCAGCCTTTGCTGGAGGGTTTAAATATGCTGTACCGGGGGCCGTGGTACCTGAGCCAGGTGAGCAGGACAGGTTCAGAGGTGGTCACCAGGTTCAGCCAAGAGTCCAACTCATCAGACAAGTCCACGGTGATGGGGCAGGTCTGAGGTCAAGCCGGGCAGTCAATCCAGAGGTCAGGATCAGGTCCGGTGACGGCAACCAGGTGCAGACACTGTCCAGTGGTCACCAGGCAAATGCAGAGAGATGAGGTCCAAGGTCAAGGTCCAGATCAACAAGGTTCATAGCAGGCACAGGCACGATGGAGCTGTATACAAGTGCTCCTAAAACATAGCTTAGGCAGGGGCTGAAGGCCCAGGACTGAGCTTAAATGGGCTCCTGGACCAATGGGTGAGGCTGGCCAGGGCCATTTAAGCCTATTAGTGCCCTCCGGGCCCTGGCACATACCCTCCTGCCCAGGCGTAAGGGCTCCCTGCGGTTTCCCCTCTGCATGGGCATGGCAGAAAACTGAAGCAGCGTCTCTCATTTGCTTTCGTGGCTGCCATCTTCCTCCTCCCCCCCCCGTTTCATTTCTCTCTGTGCAGAACCCATGGTGCAGAAGCACCTGGAGAGCCTCCAAAGCTACTATGGGAACGGCTTGGAGACGGGGCCCCCCCCGCTGGTTGCACACGCCGCGGAGGACCCTCCAAAGCTACTATGGGAACGGCTTGGAGACGGGTCCCCTCCAGCGACTCACAAACCTGCTGCTGGTGGAAGGCTTGACCGATATCCAGCAGAAGGAGCATGACATCTTGCAGATTGAAGCCACCAAAGGCCTACGGAACGTATCCAAGAGCATCCCTCTGGAGAAGCTCTTCCTGCCTCTCTCCAAGGTCAGCATTCCACCTCGGATCTCTGTCACCATCGGCGTGGCCGGGATCGGCAAAAGCACACTGGTGAAGCTGTTTGTCTACACCTGGGCAAAGGGGGAGATCAACAGGGACATCATCTTTGTGCTGCCCCTCACCTTCCGGGAGCTCAACACCTACGAGAAGCTCTCCGCCGAGAGGCTCATCTGCTCGGCGTTCCCTCACATCACCGAGCCGAACTGCATCTCAGCAGGAGCCGCCAGGACCCTGCTGATCCTTGATGGCTTGGATGAGTTCAAGACTCCTTTGGATTTTTCCAACACGGTTGTATGCACTGATCCCAAAAAGGAGATCCAAGTGGACAACCTGATCACCAACATCATACGTGGCAACCTGCTGCAGGAGGCTTCTGTCTGGGTCACATCGCGGCCAACAGCAGCCAGCCAAATCCCCGGCGGGCTCGTGGACCGGATGACAGAAATACGAGGTTTCAGAGCTGCTGAGATGAAGGACTTCTTGGACCAGATGTTCCTTGACAACAGAGACCTGTCCGGCCAAGTCCTGCATCACATCAGGGCCAACAGGTCCTTACACGTCATGTGTACCGTTCCTGGCTTTTGCTGGATTTCTGGCTCCTCAATCGGTTACTACCTAAAAAATAGCACCGACCAACCCCAGGAAACCACCGCTGTCCCCAGGACCCTGTCAGAAATCTACTCCTATTATTTTAAAATGGCTCTGAGCAGCGACTGGCCGGAAAAACCGAGAGAAACGCTCAGGATCGAGCAGGCTGTGAACAACAGCAAGAAGATAGTGGGCAGCCTGGGCAGACTGGCCTTCTATGGGCTGCTCAAAAAGAAATACGTGTTTTACGAGCAGGACATGAAGGCGTACGGCATCGACCTTTCCTTGCTGCAGAGCAGCTTGTGCAGTCGGCTCCTGCTCAAAGAGGAGATGCAGTCCTTCACAGCCTACTACTTCTCCCACTTAACCATACAGGAGTTCCTGGCGGCTGTTTACTATTACACGGCTGCGAAGCGGGCGATATTTGACCTCTTCACGGAGAGTGGGATGTCCTGGCCCAAGCTGGGCTTCCTCAACCACTTCAAGAGCGCTGTTCAGAGGTCGCTGCAGGCAGAAGACAGGCAGCTGGACATCTTTGTGCGCTTTCTCTCTGGGCTCCTCTCCCCGCAGGTGAACAAGCTGCTCTCTGGGTGGCTGCTGGTGAAGGATGAGCACAACAGCTTCAGGAGCCAAGCGATCAGCTTCCTCCAGGGCTGCCTGAACACCGACTACGCCATCTCCTCGCGGACAGTGAACGCCATGCACTGCCTGTACGAAATCCAGCACACGGAGATCGCGAAGACTGTGGAAGAAGCAATGAAGAATGAGAGCTTGGCCGGGATGCTCACCCCCGTGAACTGCTCTGCCCTGGCTTATCTCCTCCAGGTCTCGGACATCTGCATGGAGGAGACAAACCTCTCGAACTGCCTCACCTACAACGTCTGTAAGAGCCTGCTCTCCCAGCTCCTTTTCTGCCACAACCTCAGGTGAGTCCCAGTCGAATTGCACCGGGAGAAGCAAGCAGGGATGGCCGGGCTGCAACTCAAAATCCCAAGTGTCGATGGGAGACCTAGGCCCACCAACACTGTCCATCGGCAGAGAGCTGCCCTGGGGACGGCACCGGGTCAGCTCTGCTGCTCTGCTTGAGTTTTTCCACCTGCAGATGCCACAGGAGGCCAATCCTTTCTTCACTTTGCTCTCCAAACGCTTATTTTCGCTCTTTCCTTGTATCTTCTCCAGGCTGGACAATAACCAGTTTAAGGACAACGTGATGGAGCTGCTGGGCAGCGTGCTGAGCGTGAAGGACTGCCAGATCCAGAAGCTCAGGTGGGACCTGGCTCGGGGCAGACAGGGATGTTCCTGGGGATGTGGAGCAGAGCTGGGGGCACCTCAAAACCAGGGTGAGGGGCCTCCAGGAAGGTCTCTCCCACTGTGTGCCTGGTGACAAGGACAGCCTCACACAATCTCCTGCACCCAGGCGTGGTGACCTCACCCCTACGTCCTCACGGTGCGCCCAGCCTTCCTGGGACCGCTGCCTCCTCGCTGTTCCTAAAAATTTGTGTAGAAATCCATGGGTTATCCCAACAAGCTGCTTCCCGAGGTCGCGGCTGTTTGCTGGACACCAGAGGCTCTGCACAGAGCACCTGACATACGGAGGGGATGGGGTCCCGACCCCCACGCAGGGAGGTGCATCGCCCCAGGCAGATGGGTCCCCGCTTTCCCCACCTCCCTGCCCTTCTTCGTGGCTGCATGTAGCGTCCCCCATGCTGCGATCTGAGCTCCCTTTTCACGACACGAAGGATTTTTGAGTCTAGAAACTCCCCTTCCACCCTGTCCTTCCAACCCCCTGCCTGGCGTCCACCCCAGGAGAACAGAAAGCAGAACATCCACCAAATGCCCTCCGTGGCTCTCCTCTGCTCACTCATCCTCACTCATTGGACAGGCTGGAGAGGTGGGCCTGTGTGAACCTCATGAGGTTCAACAAGGCCAAGTGCAAGGTCCTGCACCTGGGTCGGGGTAACCCCTGGTATCA